GGTGAGTAAGATACGACACGAAGCAATGATAGTATAAAGATGGATGGTGGGAGTGGAAAGGATACACAAAATCGGTGGTGGTGAAATGGACATAATTATATTGTCCTAATAAATTGACTATAGACCACCACCACCGATATTTCTTTTATCCATTTTACCACAATCAAACTAATCTTTATACAATTATCATCCTCTCATGCCTTATTCACTTTCTACACCCCCATAGTTTCCGAAGACAAACGAACATAATCAGTGTCAAAGGCTTCGTAATTTGTGCAAACAGACTCTTTAAAATCAAACAAATGAAATTCAGTTGATCCCTATAATCGATCGGCTTACTCATCCCAACCACCCCCACCATGTTCATCCCTTATAACAACACTTGGTCACACCTGTTTGCCACCTATTTTATTTGTTTTTGCGTTCTCATAACTCCAACTCCTCAAAACACACACCCGACTCAACACTCCTGCCTTAAAAAAAACATCATGAGGTGTCCCATATTAAAAATGGAGTTGGTGAATTGTATGAATATCACATATTTTAATTGTATGATTGTTGTATGAGTACCTAACATTAGAAATGCAAGATATTGGTAACACCAATAGAGAGGTGCAACAAAGCATCGTTGTCAGCGATAATCATGGTGGCAATGGTTATGATGAGTGTGGTGGCACCAGTTGTAACGGTCATTTATAAAAAATATGTAAATTAGAGGTGGTTTTCATAGCTTGACATTGATTATGCTCATCGTTTCTTGGAAACACTACTTGTGAAAGTAGTTGGAAATAGGGATGAGCAAATGGACCGGGGAACCGGCCGGAACCGGAACCGGCACCGGAACCGGAGCCCGATGGAACCGGTCGGGCCGGGACCGGGACGTTATTTTTATAGATTTTTGGAACCGGGAACCGGTAGGAACCGGAACCGATATAACCGGAACCGGTAGAACCGGTAAAAACCGGTAGAACCGGCAAAAACCGGAACCGTATGATGCTATTTTTCAAGGACCGGTTCCAACATTTGAAGACACGACAAGAACCGGTAGGAACCGGGAACCGGTAGAACCGGACCGATAGAATCGCCGGGCCGGTTTGGTTCTTGATTTTGGTCGAAGCCGGTTCCCGGTTCCGGTCCGGTTCGGACCGGTTCCGGCCGGTTCGGTCCTTTTGCTCATCCCTAGTTGGAAACACCACCCATTTACCAACACTATTTGTTGCTATACAATCGTTGATTCCTCCCACGTTTTTGTTTGCAAGACTTCTTAGCTCATACAAACATATTCTTTGAAACCAAACAAAGATGATTTGATTCCTACAACTCTTATCTCTACTAGTTTGGGTCATTTAGAGATAAAAACGAACCCAACCCGTCTATTTCGGTTTTTGGATTTTAAAATCCAATGGGTTCGGTTTTTCAGTTTCTAGAGTTGGTTTCTCGGTTTATGGGTTCACGGGTTTTGGAATCGTTTAATCATGAAAATCATTTGTTGTTTCAATGAATTTTGTAAGATGTCAAAAAATAAGGGGCATGGCAAAGTGTTCGGGATTTGCTTGTTGTTAAATAATTATTTTCTTTAGTTACTTAGAGAGCGTTTTGATAGAGAAAAGAGAAGATGTTTATTATTATTATTTATTTCCACCACAATAACTTAAGTTTAAATGTTTGGATAAAATCCTTAAAAATCAGTTTATTGTGTTAGAAATAAACTAAATAAGCTAATTTTAATAAACATCTTCCATCTTCCCCTTGTTTATTGATTATTCTCACCACAAATAAACTAATAAACATCGTTTACCGATTATTATCACCACAAATAAACTAATAAACAATAAGTTAATCCAAACAGCCCTTATTTTCTATAATTCAAAGTATTTTAAGTTAAATTTAAATAACTGGCCATTGTATCGTTAACTTCTTTTTAGAGAAACTTAAATTCAGAATAGGTCCAATCAAAATCAAAAATCAAAACCAGAAACCCCTTAATCAAATCTTTAAAAAAAAAAAATTAAAGCATTTTTTTCATGATTGATGAAGAACTAAATTTGGTATGAATGTGTTAAGTTATGTAAGAATCGAATTTAAGACATTGCAATTTTTTAACGAAAAATACACCATTAACGTTGAGGTTTGAAAAAAAAAATGTCGGAAGAGTCGAATGAAAAATAGTTTATTTTTTAAGGTGGTGTTTGCTTTATTCAGAAGACAATAGACACGAGACACACACACAAAACCTAAGACTTTTTTTGTGCACATTCTACTTAGGCTAGTTGTTAGAAAAGAAGGGAGAAGAACTTGTAAAAGGGACAGAGGACAAAGATTCAACATAACACAAAGTTTTGGTTTTTATAAAATTAAATTATACTCCTATGTTTATTATACCATCAAAGGTAAACCCATTAATGTGATAACTTTTATTTATATTCACTAAACACATTAATGTGATTACTTCTATTTATTTATATTCACTAAACACATTAATGTGATTACTTTTATTTATTTATATTCACTAAACTCATTAATGTGAAGGGTTATTGGTTGTAATTTGATGTTTTTTAGGGCATTATTGTTTGTTAAAACCCAAACCTGACTAGCATAGTATAGCCCTCGAAAAGAATACCCCTTCAAATTACATGGTTAAATGATTTTAAACTAAAGGAATCGTGAACTCACATACCTGAAGTAAAAACAGTCGGATATATGAAACAACTAATCAACAGAGTATATAGAACACCAACATTTTACTTGGTTTCCTAACAAAATTTCATCTTTAACCTCAATGCAGATTGCAGAACAGAACATATGTCAGTGAAGATAATCAATTAAGCAACTCAAGATTCAAGAAAAAACAAAGGTTAGTGACCAAATTGTTCAAGAAAGAGTATCAATTATCATGGTCTACCACCAACTTGTTTTTCTAACGCAAAGACATTGAATAGAAGTAACTACAACATTCATACTCTTATCTAATAATAATTACTCTTACAGTTAAAAACATCCTCTTCCTCTTCCATGGAAATCATCAAGATATTATGTTTATATATACTTTCTTTTTTCAGCATGCATAAATGGGAGAAACGCAAATAGGTAATGCTCACCATTGTCAGTCAGAATCATCACTCAACGATAAACACCATCAGATGCAAAGCTAACCTTTTTCTTAACGCATGGCAAAACAGGGAGGTTAACTGTAAACATCATCATCAGAAACTGTCCTCTTTGCTTGCTTTATCTTCTCCAGCTGAACCTGTGTATCCATGAACAATTGCATCCTCTGAACTTCCAAATCTTTGGTGAATTGCATCCTCTGTTTCTCCAATTCAATCATCTGTTTCTGTTTCTCTCCCTCAACCCTCTCGTATATCTCTCCGAATCTCTCAATAGCCCTTGCCAACCGCTTCATGCACTCGGAATCCCCTCCTCCTTCCTTCCTCACTCCTTCCCCACCCGCACCACCTTCTTCGTCGCTCGTCCCCAGAGACTCATCATCCTCTGATCCATCCTCCTCCGCGGCTGCAGCAGCGGCAGCAACAGCCGAGTAATTCCTCCGAAAATACGAGTCATCCACGGCCGCAGCCACCGGAAGCGGTCGTTTCTGAGGGAGAACCGCGAGAGGCTGGGGAAATTGAGAAGACAATACCGTCGAAGGAGGTTTCCGGTAGGGTAATGGAACGGCCGTCGGCGGTGATGACGATGAAGACTTCTTCGCGGTTGCAGCGGATCCGATTAACGAGTCCAGGCGAGAGTAAAACGGCCAAGAACTGGTAATTTGGCCATTGGATTCCGAAACCCTAGCTTTCTCAACCTTATACTTCTTCTTCAGAGTGTCGATCCGATTTTTGCACTGAACGTCTGTACGCCTTGTTTTCTTGGTATGGCCATGACGGGCGTTGACGGAATCGGCGACCTCCTGCCAATCCTTTTGACGGAGGTTCCCACGGTTGAGCTCAAGGTAACGGCGGCCCCAAGCGTCGACGAGAGTCGACGTCGCATCCTCGCTCCAACAATCCTCACGGAAAGGGAGCGGACGAGATGAATTAGGATGGTTTCCTCCGGCTGAGGCGACCGGAGACGGAGAATTGATCAAAGCTAACTCGTCGCCCATCTAGGGTTTGTTTATCGGTGAAATTTTTGGGGGAAAGATAAATAGAGAGAGAGAGTACAAGTGGGTGAAGCGTCGGTGTCGGTACCGTTTCCATCCATTGTCTGACTGGCATCTCTTCGCCGATGTACGGCTCCAACTCCGACGTGGAACTGACGTTATGTTATCTGTCGCTTTGTATACTTGTACATGCCATACTCGCTTTCCTCACTTGTACGTTTCCTTCCAATGTTTTCCCAAATCACTTGTTTTTGCTACCTAATAAATATAGATCATATTATTCATCTTATTATTATTATATATTATAACAAAAATGCTTATAAATAATATAATTTTATGGTTTTGAACTTTGGCCATTAAATTTTTTTTTTTAGCTTTTCTTCATAAAATATAGTTTTAAGGTTTTCCATTTTGTCTATAAAAATTTGTTATTTTAGACTTTGTTTGGCCATAAAAAAATTTATTTCAAACTTTAGACCAAAAAATAAAATTATGTGGATTGTTTGGTGCTTTTATCTTCATATATCCCTGTTATATAGTCGAATGCCACTTTCCACCCTGTTTGTAAAATATTAGTTTGATAAAATTGCAAAAAATGGTCCAAGTGGTATGTATTTTTTGGGAGTTTTAGTCCAAACCACAATTTTTTTCGATTAATAGTCATTTTGAACTAGTTTCCTTGCATTTTTGGTCCCCTAGAAAACTGAAAAGACTAAAATGCTCTTCTGATACATTTTTTATGGTTTTTTTATTTAATTTAAAGTTTTATTAATAAGAATTATGGGGCCCACCTCTCTCTCTCTCTCTTTCTTTCTCTCTCTCTCTCTCTCTCTCTTAATCTGGGTCTCTTGTGTCGACCGATCAATATACGAACACCACAAGTAAATATAAGGAAACGATGGCAGTGGTGGTCAAATACTCACAGTGGCATAAAGTGATGGCTGGTCGGAGTCTTCACAGTGTCCTTGGTGGTGGTGACAGGTCAGGAACTAACGACGGCAGTTCCGTCTTTCTGGCAAGTTCATTCCTTGCTCGCTTTGACTCGTCACCAGAGCTGTAGAGATCAGGGATGGCAGCAACAGGCAGGTGGGCGTCAGGAGGTGGCTTAGGAAGGTACTACGTAGGAGGAGGAGGCTTAGAACGGTTGTGGTTGCTCGATAATGGTGGTGATAGTCGCGTTCCCGGCGATCGTTTTCTCCGTTTTTTTTCACCTTGTCGTTGGCAATAACGGCAAAGGAACGGATGACGGAGGTTATATGAGGAAGGAAGCAACGGCGTCAAGGTGTTGATGGTGGTGGGTCACAACGAGAGGAAGCGGAGAGTGATGGCAATGGTGGTTGTCGTCATCAACAACAGTAGGCGGCAACTCCACTGCCTTGTGTGTCTTTTCGCCTGGTAGTACACTACGAGAGGAGGGGAGGGCGGAAAAGGATCGAAAAGGGGAGGTTGCAATGGGGATAGCAATAGAGGCGGTTTGGCTTGAAGAGAGAGAGTGTGAGAGAGAGAGAGAGGGGGACATGTGGAGCCAATTTTTATATTTAATAATAATAATAAATTTATAAAGTGAAGATAAAAATGAAAATTAAATTCATTAAGGGTATAATAGTCTTTTTAGTTTGGACAGGGACCAAAAGTGCAAGGAAACTAGCTTAAAAGAACCACGAATCCAAAAAAGTCATGGTTTTGACTAAAACCCTATAAAAAATGCATACCACATTGACCATTTTTGCAATTTTGTTTATTAGTTTTACCCCCTCAAATTACACCGACATTTTCTACCATTTACATTTTTTTATAGACAAAATTGCAAAATTTGGTCCCTGTGGTATGTCAAAACTAGCACATTTGGTCTAAAATGGGTTTGGCTTGCAAGGATGGTCCAATAGTTTTATTTTGTTGCAAGTTTAGTCCAATGGCTTAACAACTGTTACCAAGCTCCCGTTACTTTACCCATGCCCCTCTCACTTAAGGGTATTTTAGTCCATTCATCTATTAGTCCATTAAGAGACTTCAACGTCTCTATTCTCGTCTCCAGCAACAAGCCCTAACGATCACTCCATCTGTGATTCCATCTTCTCCATTGACAATGGTGATGTGCTTCTGCATAAAGTGGGCGATAGTTCGGACATCGTGGATAGATAACAACCCAGGGCGCCAATTTTGGGGATCTCCTGACCCAGTAAGTATTTTACAATTTGTTTTTAACGACTGCTCCCTGATAATCTAATGTTTCTTTCTTCTTTTTTCAAGAATTCGTCATGTGGGTTTATTGGGTGGTATGATGAACCCATGTGTGCTCGTTCCAAAGTTATAATAGCATGACTGCTTAGGACAATCAATAAGCTACGAAAAACAGTGGATGATATAAAAGATCAAGCAAGTAAGCATGAAAAAGAAGTGGTGAAGATCAAAGAACAAGCAACTATGTTGAAGTATTACCGAGTCTATACCTGGATTTTTTGTTGTTGTGTTGGTGTTGTTGTAAGTGCTCAAATGTTATGGATATCTTTTGTAATAGGTTAGGGGTATATGTGTCTGGTTTAGCTAGTTTTTTGCAAATGTAGAACATTGTTGTAATGCAAATTAATGGTAATGAAAATTTGGTATCTATTGACCAATTATGGATTTGTTATGTTGTTCATGCATAACCTGCTAAAGATAACATCGCATGCATCCATATGTAGTTAGCAGAAAAGCATACAAAACATATAATACCTATTATCATCTTCAAAATACATGTCATAAGTTAATTCAAAAACAAAGTTATTGCAACAAAAGACATCCTACATCTGAATCAAAACAAAGCTGTTCAACATAGTGAAACCAAAAGATAAAACCAACATAGTCCATCAAGTCCCTCCTTGACCTTTGCATGTCCTGGAGTTGTGACCATGAATCTCACTGGGACCAGCATCTGACCTTTGACTCTAACTTTGACTCTTGCTTTGACTTCTCTCCTCCATGGACTGCCTTCTCTTCCTTTTGGGTCTCCCAGGTTGATTACGGTGTGGGGGAGGTGTGATCTACATTGGATACTAACTTCTAGGCCACGATGCCCGACCCTTAATTGGTTTCACCTTATACCCATATGCAGTTTTCCAAGTTTGTAGCCAATGCACCTTGTGGACATAAGTATGGAGCTCTTGTACACACTCACCATGATCTGCTTTGTTATACAACATATAAATCACATGTCTGCAAGGGATACCTATTAACTCCCATTTCCTGCAGCTGCATACCCTTTCTTGCATATCAACAACATGTTGATCATTCCATGGACCTTTGACTTGGTATTTTTCATCACCACACCAATCTGCAATGTACTGAGTAGTTGCTGCTTCATTCTTCTCCATGATCTTTGTTGTTGTTGGGGTGAGTAGGCCTACACACTTCTGTTGCACCTTAAGGACATTGCATATCCTCTTCATCATATATTCCATAATAAACTCCAAGCAGCTAATAATTGGTTTATCTCTCCCATCAACCAACTTGCCATTAAACACCTCACAAAGGTTGTTTAACAACCTGTCCGTGGTTGCTCTTCCTATATAGAAAAGGGTAAAAGTGTTATAATGTTGTGGTGGTCATAAAAGGATAAAAGGTTCATAACATGGTAAAAGGGTAAAGTGTAAAAGGGTCATAACATCTTACATGTGAAATGGCTTTTTGCCCAATGTTGTGGTGGTATTGACTTTCAACCATTCATATGTTGAGTTGTCATATAAAGTCAATTGGTGCATGTAATGGTTAAACTCTGGCACTGTTGTAGCTGTGGCACAATCCCAAAGGTGATCTTTATATTCCTTAGTTATCCATTGTTTCTTCATGTTCTCATGTATATGTCTGAGACAGGACCTATGCTCAGCACATGGGAACAATTAACTAACTGCTTGTAGCAAACCTTGGCAACAAATAACACATAGTTAGAAAATAAAGATTAAAAATAATAAAAAAGTAACTATTACCTTTTGTTTGTCACTAACAAAAGTGGAATTAGACATAGCATGTAAATTCAAGTCATCACCAAGACATTCAAGGAACCACTTCCAAGATTCACAGTTTTCAATCTCTACAATGGCATATGCAAGTGGGAATATGCCATTGTTGGAATCTAATCCAACTCAAGGATATAGTCTCTTAGAACTTCATATTGTTTTTTGTAATCACCCACTACAATATTTTTTGCATCTGCTTTATCTCTAAAAACTTTATGAATTGAGAAACCCACTCCATACTTCTTCTGTAGTTGTTCTTGGAGAGCGTTAACTGGGATAGTAGGGTTGGATTCTACCTAATCCATAATTTGTTTGGACATAAACTTTGTTGTTGCATCTCTAACCTTCCTTGTATTCATACAAGTGTGGTTGTCTTCATATGTTTTAATATACCAACTACTTGAATCTGTAGACCTTGAGGCATGTAACATCCAAGGACAAGAACAATCTGCTTTATCCTGACTTGACCCACCTTGTTTGTCCTTTTCTTTAGTTTTCCCTTTATCTTTCCATTTACTTTTCTCAGGTTGGGTAGGTCCACCAACTCCATCATTAGTAAATGCCACAACTCCATTACATATGGCCTTCAATCTGCATTTGTCATTTTTTTAAATGCAATATTCTATTTAGTTTCCAATGCATGCATTTTGATTTTCTCTTTCAACTCCTGCTTACTATTATACTTTTGACCTATTTTAAAATGACACTTATGAACCTCACCTAAAGAACAACTTTTTTCCTTAGTTGTTTCAAAACTGCTCTTCTTTTCCTGTCCTGATCAGAATCCTCATCAATGGAATCAAAAGCATCATTGTCAATGACATCTAACTCATCGGCTTCTTCATCACTCTCATGTTGTCTAGGATTCCTAGTCCTTTTTTCCAAGAACTCTACTTATGTATCAGTACTCATGTTAAAATCCCTCATATCAACTTCAACATCTTCAATTACATTATCTTCATCCACCCAATAATCATTGTCATCATTATCATCTTCTTGCTCTGTTTCACTTCCTTCTTTACTTTCAACCTCACTTACATTTTGTTTTCCATTACTATCCATGTTAGACTGAGGTTGGTTTTCACTTCCATCTTGGACACAAGCATCAGTTTGATAGTCAAAATCCCAAAAGTCATTCATCTTAGGGTGCTTTTCTTCATCCATCTGAGGTTGGTTTTCTTCATCCATCTGAGGTTCATTCACATCATGCATGTCAGGGCCATTGACTCCATCAACATTGCTTTGTAGTATTTTTGGTATAGTCCAATATCAAAATTAATAGTTGCCACAACAAAGTCTTTGGCAATCTTCTCCATCAAAGTATATTTTCTTACTGCAAGATGCCATCACTCCATCCTTGCTCATAACCCTTCTCCTATTATATTCAGGTGATAAGGATACGACTTGAAGTACTTCATTGACTTGGATTTCAGGTTGGTTTGGTTGAGTTGGCACCACATTAGTAGGTGTAGTCATTATATGTGATTCCTTTGATTGGTCATCAGGAGCTTCATCATTGTGTTGAACATCCTCATGTGGTTCATCTAACTGTACAAGGGTAACCTTGGTAACAGGTGTAGGATTCAAGAAATAGGTGAGTAGTTTTGTTTCACCATGTTCTGTGTATACCTTCATCACTTTGTGCTCACTGACATATTGACAAAAGTTTGCAACATCTTCATCATTTCCTAAAGGGAGAATACCAAAGTGGTAGTCTCCACCAAGCACAAGAAAATGGTAGTATATAATAGGAGGAACCCTATATTTGAAACCTTTCATGATTGCATTGAGCTCATGAACTGAAAACTCATATATATTTACCATGTTCACATAGTTTATAGTTCCGTCAATGTAACGAACATTAGGGTACTTAGTGAACTCACCTCCATGGTACAACTTAATGGTAAACAATGTTGGGTGTCCATCTTCAAAATAAGTAAAAAAACACTTCAGGTGGAGTTACATCAAAAAAAATTCAAGAAATCAAAAGATGAAAAAGGGCAAATTACATACCATAAACAACCTTGGGGTTGAAGTGTGTGTTTAACAACCTTACGTGTCACATTGGTATGTTCATCCACCAATAATCTCACCAAATCGCAACTTAACTAACACAACATAATTTTTGTCTAGGGATTTTATTGATCTTGTTTAAAGAACGACAATCGACTTTATTGAGGAGGAGACGAACTGCTTTTATTGAGCTTTAGCGGGAACGGTTACAGGGATGAATGGACTAAAATACCCTTAAGTGAGAGGGGCATGGGTAAAGTAACGGGAGCTTGTAATGGCTGTTAAGACATTGGACTAAACTTGCAACAAAATGAAACTATTGGACCATCCAATGCAAGCCAAACCCATTTTGAACCAAACGTGATAGTTTTGACATACCACAGGGACCAAATATTCAATTTTGTCTTTTTTATATTGGCATGTTTGCAGGTTTGAGTAAGGGTGAGCATTTGGATAGGACCGGACCGACACTTGGACCAGATTGGTTTTGGAAAATATTATGGGCCATGGACCATACTGAATGAGTGTAACATCCCAAAAATCAAGGCCAAATATTTCATTTTTAATTAAGTGGTTTATAAAATAAGTGATCAAGACATTACAAAAATTATGTCAATACATAAAACCATAGTGTCATGTCTCAAAACCATAACATCAAAACTAATGAAAAATCATAGTACAATCCCAGAAACCCCATGCGAAAACCATGTGTGTGTGATGCGCTGCTACATCGTCGACTCCTTCCCCTTCGACGAAGAGGTACCTGAAACCAAAACCAAAAACTTTAAGCATAAAGCTTAATGAGTTCCCCCATCATACCGCATACCATATAATATCATTAGTATCTTTCAACCGATAACTGTCGTCGCTATCTTTCAACCAGTAACTATCATCGGTATCTTTCAACCGGTAACCGCCATTGGTATCTTTCAACCGGTAACAGGGGACTATTTCACCCCTTACCCCTAGAATACAATAGCAAGATATAAACATACAATCAGACATATCGGGGTACTGACCTACCCCTTGGTCCTAACGACCTACCCTAAGGAAAGACTATTCCCTGTCACTACCACTGACACAAATATCAAATCACGCAGGCATATATCATGAACAAATCACATAACCAAACCAAGATAATTATCACAAAGACAATTATCTACTAAATACCCTTGTTGGTGGGTCGGTATTGTGGCCCTACACCCACCCCTACTAGTAGGTAACTCACCTCGATGTCGAGTAGTGACTGAACCGTCCTCTGCGCGAAGATCGACTCTCCTCGTCTCCTCAATCCCTATATGATAATCCCAAGTCATCAAACAGAACATATGACCCTAGCCAGGGTAATACCATAACCAATCAACGTTAACATTGGTCAAAGTCATCACCTAGTTGACCTGACTCGTCAAGTTAGTCTACCAACTCGTCGAGTCCATGCTTCACTAACCCAATCCAACCCTGACTCCACACGTCGAGTCTAGCAAGAACTTGTCGATTTCTCCTTCATTCAAACCATCGGGACCACCTTCATCCGACTCGCCGAGTTCTTCCTTCGACTCGGGGGTTCATCTCCCTCATAGAAACGTGTCCAGTCTATGACTCGCCGAGTTGTATGAAAAACTCGTCGATTCCATCTTCAACGGTTGGGAGATTGCCTTGACTCGCCGAGTCCCATGATTCCTAGGTCCCTTTATGTGTCTAAGCATCTACGGGACTTTCTTTCCAAACAACTGGTCCATCCACACAAAAGGATTTGGTGGACAATACACACTGACTCGCCGAGTTCCAAGAACAACTCGTCGAGTCCCTGCTTGACCCTTACTATACAGCCGATTTAAATGGGTGTTAACACATCAAAACCATAGATATGGCCTCCTAATGCCCATTTTATACGTAAAGTTCCAAACTTGGTGCACATGTATTGGGTCTTTTGGCTCAAAAATCCATAAAAAAGTGCTCTACAATGTGCATGGGGATCTCATGGCCATAAAGTTAGCACCTTTATGCCATGAGACCCCTCCAATGACTCAGATATGAAAGTAGAACCCCATGAATCACTTCACAAATCCGAAAATGGCTTGGGAAACCCTAAATGCACCCAAAATCTAAGCCTTAAAGATGAACAACCAAATGGAAGACCAAAACAAGGGGTATTTACCTTGACTGAGCTGAAGATGGAATAAGATCTCTGGATCTACAAGCCCCAACTCGAATTCCCAAGCTTCTTCCTTCCTTTCAAACTTCACAAACCACCCAAAAGCACAAAAATGGCCTTAGATCACACAAAAACGGTTAGGCTTTCGATATACAGCATCTTGGGAGAGAGAGGGACGAGAGAGGTTGAGTTGAGTCCTTTAAATAGAGTGAAAACCCTCATATTTACGATTTCCCTCAAACAGGACCTACTCGTCGAGTCAGTCTCCCGACTCGTCGAGTAGGTCACTTAAAATGCCCGCGGATCACGACCCTACTTGACGAGTTGGACCACCAACTCGTCGAGTCCCAGAGAAAATACAGAAATGCTTAATTTAAATGCGTACTGGGAATAAGGTGTTACAAATCTCCCCCACTTATTCTAGACTTTGTCCTCGAAGTCTACTGCTTGATCCTGAAAAAGCTCGGGGTAATGTTCCCTCATCTTGTCCTCCGGTTCCCAAATCCATTATGAGCCCTTGTGGTGCTGCCACTACACCTTTACCAGCTCCACCCTCTTGTTCCTTAGATCCCTTGACTTTTGGTCAAGGATTTACTATTGGTCGCTCGATGTAGTTCAGGCTGTCATCAACCTGAATATCCTCTAAAGGCACCACTATTGAATCGTCCACCAAACATTTCTGTAACTGGGAGACGTGAAAGGTGCTATGAATCTGACTGTGTTCGGATGGCAGATCTAGCCTATATTCCACCTTACCCACCCGGGCTATAACCCTGAAGGGTCCAATATACCTAGGGGCCCTACTTGCTTCGCTTCCTGAATCGAATGACCCCCTCCCATGGCGACACCTTCAGGAGTACTATATCCCCGACCTGGAAATCCAGGTCCGACCGTCGCTTGTCGACATAGCTTTTCTGCCGACAGCATATCCTCCAGAGTCTGGATGGTCTGCTCGCTCTGACCGTCCGTCTGCAGGTGAAAGGTGGTTCTAAAATACAGTCGAGTACCCAACTTGTCATGAAACTTCTTCCAGAACCTGGAAGTGAACCGCACGTCCATGTCTGAAATCACTGAAACCGGAACCCCGTGTCGCGCCACTACCTCCCGGATGTAGACGTCAACCAACTTTTCGGCCGAAATACACTCCTGAATCGGAATAAAATGGGTGCTCTTGGTCAATCGATCAACGATGACCCAGATCGAATCCACCCCTCGTGCGGTCCTGGGAAGCTTCGTAATGAAGTCCATAGTAATATCCTCCCACTTCCACAGCGGGATATCCAACGGCTAGCGGGATATCCAACGGCTAGACCTTGTTGTGAGGTCTCTGGTGCTCAGCCTTGACCTTCCTGTAGGTCGGGCACCTTTCCACAAACCAAGCTATATCCCTCTTCATATAGGGCCACCAATAATCGAGACGAAGATCCCTATACATCTTCGTCGCCCCGGGATGGATGGAGAACCTAGATTTGTGTGCCTCTGCCATCAGTACCTGGTGCACACCCCCATGATACGGGACCCACACCCTACGGTGAAGAGTCAACAATCCCCGACTATCGTATTTAAAGGATGAAACCTGGCCCACAATTCTCTCACTCTTCCAATGTTCCTCCTTCATGGCCTCCTGTTGGGCCTCCCGAATCTACTCTCACAACGGAGTCACAACTGTCATCCTCAGACAGATGTCCCTGATCGTCACTGCCTTGCGGCTAAGCGCATCAGCCACGACATTGGCCTTCCCCGGGTTGTAGAGGATCTAACAATCATAATCCTTTACCACATCAAGCCACCGACACTGCCTTATATTCAGATTTGGCTGATCCATGAGATACCTCAGATTCTTGTTGTCCATGTAGATGGTACAACGATCCCCATATAGGTAATGGTGCCAAATCTTGAGGGAGAAAACAACGGCCCCCAGCTCCAAATCATGTGTCGGGTAATTTGCCTCGTGAGGCTTTAGCTGCCTCGAAGCGTAATCTATAACATGCCCTCTCTACATGAATACCATGCCCAAAACCTGAGATGGACGCATCGCAGTATACCACAAAGTCCTCCATCCCCTTTGGCAGGGCTAAGATTGGCGTCTCGCACAATCTCTGCCTCAACATCTCAAATGCGGCCTGCTGCTCAGGCCCCCAGTGAAAGACCACGGCTTTCCTCGTCAACCGGGTCAGGGGCACAACTGTCTTGGAGAAGTCCTGAATTAACCTACGATAGTAGCCTTCCAGTCCCAGGAAGCTCCGAATCTCATATAGAGACCTCGGAACCTCCCACCTCATCACAACCTCCACCTTGGCTGGATCGACCGAAATCCTGCCCTAGTTGACAAGGTGCCCAAGAAACTGCACCTCGCGCAACTAGAACTCCCACTTGGAGAACTTAGCATACAAGCTCTCCCTCCTCAAAGTATCCAAAACCTCTCGCAAGTGAACCTCATGCAGCTCTTGAGTCTTGGAATAAACCAAGATGTCATCGATGAAAACTATCAAAGACCGATCCAACATTGGTCTGCACACGCAGTTCATGAGATCCATAAAACGCGGCAGGAGCATTGGTGAGCCCGAAAGGCATCACCACGAACTCATAGTGGCTATAGCGCGTCCAGAAC